AGATAATTTGTAAACATTTCATTTTACCCTGGAATTGGGTTTTCTCACGGCTTTCTTAACCCCACCTTTTGAGTTTCCATTTGAATGTTTTCATGTAGGCCACAGTTTTGGAGCTATTTACATCCATTTTATTAAACCAGTCATTACATGTGGTAGGCTGAATAATGGCCCCCCAAAGATATTTAGGTCCTAATCCCTGGACTTTATACTGTTATCTTATACAGCAAAACTTTGCTATGTGATTCAGTGAAGGATCTTGAGATGGGGGCATTGTCGTGGATTACTTGAGTGGTCCCTGAACGCAATCACAAGCGTCCTCATAAGAGGAAGACAGAGGCCATGTGACAGAAGCAGCGGGAAGCAGAGTCAGAGAGAGAAGATGCTATGCTGCTGGCTTTGAAGATGGAGGAAGGGGTCACAAGCCAAGGAATACAGGTGGCCACCAGCAGCTGGAAAAGTTAAGGAAGTGGATTCTCCCTAGAGCCTTTGGAGGGAGTGCAGCTCTTGATTTCTGCCTAGTGAAACCCATTTTGGACTTCTGGCTTCCAGAACTGTAAGAGAATATATCTGTGTTGTTTTAAGCCACCAAGTTTGTGGTAATTTCTTATAGCAGAGGTAGGAATCTAATATGCCATGGTTCAAAGGTATCTATTAAGTGGGAATTCCATTCTTTGTAGAAGACAAGATAATTCAAAGGCTGTAATCTTTTTTTTTTTTTTTCCTTCAAGTGGATTCTGATTCATGGAGACTCCATGTATGCAAAGTAGAACTGTACTCCATAGGGTTTTCTTTTTAAATTTTATTTTGTTGTTGAGAATATACATAGCAAAAACATACACCAATTCAAGTTTCTACATGTACAATTCAGTGACATTGATAACATTCTCTGAGTTGTACAACCATTCTCATCCTCCTTTTCCAGGTTGTTGCTTCCTCATCAACATAAACTCACTGCCCACCGAAGGTTCCTATCTAATCTTTTGAGTTGCTATTGTCACTTTGATCCCATATGGATCTTAAAATAGCATAATGTTCAAGGCAGATATTTTTTACAGTTAAGCTAAACTATTGTTTGGTTTTAAGAAGACTTTATGGGATATTTTTGGGTTAAGTTATAAAGATTATCTTAGGGCAATAGTTTCAGGGGTTCGTCTAGCCCCTGTGGCTCCAGAAAGTCTGGAATCCATGAAAATTTGAAATTCTGGTGGGCATTTTACCCCTTTCAATCAGGATTCTTCTATGGAATCTTTGCTCAGAATGTTCAGTAATGGTAGCCAGCCACCATTCTGGGCTCATGGCAAAGGAGACAGTTGTTCAGGGAGGCAATTAGCCACACATTCCATATCCTCCTCCTGTTCTTGACTCTTATTCTTCCCCTGTCGTTCCAGGTGAATAGAGACCAATTGTTGTCCAAGGCTGTAATCTTTATGGAAGCAGACTGCTATGTCTTTTTCCCAGGGAGCGGCTGGTGGGTTTGAACTGCTGACCTTTTGGTTAGCAGCCGAGCGCTTAACAACTGCACCACCAAGGCTCCTTTCAAGGGTGTCAGAAGGCTCCAAATCTAGAGGTTTAAAGTCAATTGCTTTGATTTTCTTCCTCCTGGAGATGCCTCTGAATGTAGAACTTGGAAGTCTCTGGGTTTCTTATGCAACAGCTTTCTTAATAAACCAGGAGGGGCATCTGCTTGGGAACAAGGACAACAACAACAACAACATTTATTGAGTGGTTCATGGGCCATATACTGGGTTAAGAGCTTTCTATGTAAAAATTTTCAATCTTCATGAAAATCTCTATGAAGCAGTTATGAGCACCTCTGTTGTGTTGGCAAAGAAATTGAGGTTTAGAATGGATATGAGTTTATCCCAAGTGACAGAAGTAGTTAAGTGGCCAAGTGTGAATTAGGACCTCGACCACTTGGCACCAAAAGCCATCTATGTAAGATGCTCTGCTCCTTGAAAGGTAACTTGAGGTGATGTGAATGGCACTCAAGACTAAGGGAAGGCATTCTAGGTCTGTCTCAGCTTCCGAGTTTGCCTTTTCTCTAAACTGTCTTGTTTCAACGTTGCCTTCTTAAAAAGCAACTGGAAGTCTTTGTGCCTGGGCCTAGGAAAATTAGAAAAAGGGGCCCAACTACTTCTCATCTGGAAGTCTACCTGCTACCTGGAGCCTCTTTTTAAGTGTCTTAACGTTTGGAAAAATCCGAACTTTTATTGTACTGTTAGTAAAATAGTTGAAATCACATACTTTTAGTATTTATTTGAATACTTTACTCTTTTTTATTAGATATTGTTCTTAATTTCTCCCCGGAGTATATGGCCTTTCAGTCCAAGAATTATTGCATTGATTTTTTCCTATAAACAAAAAACCCCATTGCCGTTGAGTTGGTTCTGACTCATAGCCACCGTATAGGACAGAGTAGGACTGCCCCGCAGAGTTTCCGAGGAGTGGCTAGTGGATTTCAACTGCCGACCTTTTGGTTTGCAGCCAAACTCTTAACCGCTGCACCACCAGGACTCCTTACCTATAATAGGTGCTGAATATGTGTGTTGAATTTAATTACTACATTTGTAACTACTTTTTTTAATTTAAAGAATGGCAAAATTCACTCATATTCTATGATATGAAGTTGAAAGTTGTATCATTAAAGGTCTTTGGAATTGTAAAGAATTTTTTTTAAACTGGAATCTTTTCTTTTGATAATACTGTCACATTTGAGTCATTATTCTAGGTGCTCATTCTTTATTTTGTTTTTAAAGCCTCTAATTCTTTTTCAAATGTTATAAAAGCACCTTAAATTTTATATAGGCACACTTTGGCATGGGTGATAGGCTGGGGAAGAACATAAAATTGTTTCTCCTGCATAAACTGATGCAACTGGTCATATGTGTCCACCTTTTGGATTAAAAAATTTTGATATAAAACAAGAATACCCAGGGAATGACTAGCGGAGTAGTAAAATGAATAAATTAAGATGAATTCTGTGATGTATATATTCTTGAAGTGTTCCATCCAAGTAATTCTGAAAGGAAAAGAAAGCAGTCTGAAGGAGACTACCACTGGTTATAAAACATTTCGAGGTCACTTGATTTATTTAAAAAATTTATTTGAATTTTATATTCTATTCTAGTATAACATGGTTTTATTTTTCATTTTTGACCTTTTAAAATAGAAGTACAACACTCATACAGAAAAGTGCACAAAGTATGAGTGTACAGCTCAGTAAGTTATAACAAAGCAGACATATAGGCGACCATGCTTTGGTCAAAAAATAGAACATTTCAGCACCCCAGAAGCCTTTCTTGATCGCTATTTATCTTTTTCTTCCCTGGAAGTAACCACTACCCTAACTCTTACACTCTATTTTAATCTTGCCTGTTTTTGAGCTTTATATAAATGGCATTATCTAGTGTTTCAAGTTCAGCTTCTTTAACCCGTTATTCCATAAAGTCATACTCATATCCATGAATAACCACGAAAGCTCCATGAGTATTTTGGAGTTACAAATAAATTTTAGCAATTAGGCAAATTCATAAATACAGAATCCACAAATAATCATATCATAGTCTGAATACTCACAGGTTGTTATGAGTCAGAACTGACTCGATGGCAACAGGTTGTTTTTAATTCCATGAAGCTATAGTTTTTATCATTTTCATAGCTGTGTCGTATTGCGTTGAATGATTGTATCATAATGTGGTTATCCATTCTAGTATCAATGGACATTTGGATTGTTTCCAGCTTTTGGTTATTACAAATAATGCTGTTCTGAACATTCCTGCACATGCATTTTACACACGACTACGTGCATTTCTGTTAGGTATGTATCTAGGAGTGGAATTGCCGTTCCATAGGAATATGCTTTCATCTGTTAGTAGAAGTGGTTCTACCAATTTACATTTTTACCAGTAGTGTAAGTGAGTTCTCATTGCTCCATGTCCTTGCAAACACTTGGTACTAAGTCTGTTCTTTTAATTTTAGCTTTCTTGGTGAGTGTATCATGATCTTTGTGTTTTTAATTTGTTTTTTCCTGATGATTAAAGAGGTTGAGCATCTTTGTTTATTGGTTACTTACAGATCTTCTTTTATAAAGTAACTGTTAAGTCCCTTGCCCATTTTCTAATGGGTTATTCTTTTTTCCTTATTGATTTGTAGGAATTCTTTTAAAAATATTTTAACTTTTTATTTTGAAATATGCTCAGATTTATCAAAAAGCTTCTTCATCCAGATTTCCCAACTGTTAACATTCTATCATATTTGCTTTATCCTAGTCTCAATCTCTCTCATTATTCATGGTCATTATGTCCTATAAGGTCACACTGACCCTGAATTAGCAAATACTGAACCATTGCTCCTAGGGGAGATACCTCTGGTCATAACATTTTTGTCAACCGATCAATACATAACCTTGTTTTATGTGTGTTTCTCTTTAAAGATACCTTATTTAATATATCCTGTTGATTGAAGCCATGGCCAACAGCAGTGTAACTCATGTCTGAATGAAGCTTATCTAACACATGTATTTTCTTCTTAAGGCACACCACAGCCTTCTTGTGCTTAGGAACAGTAGACAGTACTTCAGTACTATGTATGGAGGTCATTTTAAACAGTGCAATCACCAACAAAAAGCACAAAAATGCAAAAAAAACGACACTGAATAGATGGCAAAAAGGACACTTGTTTAAAGTATGGGAGCTGAAACAAGAAGGCAGGTGTTTGTTGCCTTGCTTGACCTCTGATGCGAACACTTGAGGAGACTCAAATTTTTACCACTCTCTACCTGTCCACTAATAACTGCAAAAGCTCCATGCATATTGATTTTGGGAGTACAAATAAATTTTAGCAATTAGGCAAATTCACAAATACAGAATCCACAAATAATGAGAAACAACTGTATACATATATATTTATATAACACAAATACATGCACGTGTGTAATATTATTTTTTCTGAACCAATTGAGAGTAAGTTGCAGACAAAATGTATCCTTACCACTAAATACTTCAGTGTGTATTTCCTAAAAACAAGGACATTTTCTTATATAAACACTGTACAATTGTTAAAATCAATTGACTTTATATAGAACTATCTATATAATTTTTTTTCTTTGTCCTTGGGTAGAGGATGTATCAGATATTAAACTGATAAGGACAGATGCTACACTTGATCTTAGCCAAAAGGCCGAGAATCAAAAAAAGAGGAAGACGGTCAAGGAGATGGATTGACACAGTGGCTGCAACAATGGGCTCAAGCATAACAATGATTGTAAGGATGGCACAGATCGGGCAGTGTTTCATTCTGTTGTAGGTAATGTCGCTATGAGTCGGAACCTAACAACAGCAACAACATCTATGTAATTACTGATACAATGCTATTATCAAAACTACAGACCTTACACAACTTGAAGAATGTAATCCATGTCACTAAACTGTACATGCCGAAACTGTTGAATTGGTGTATGTTTTGCTGTGTCTATTCTCAAAAAAACCAAAACTATAGACTATTCAAATTTCTCCAATTGTCTCACTAATGTCATTTATAGCAAAAGAAAAAAATAATTGTTATTTTCTGGTCTAGGATCCAATTCAGGATAATATGTTGCATTTAGTTGTCAAATCTCTTTTGTCTCCTTTAATCTGGTGTTTCTCAGTCTTTCTTTGTCTTTCACAACTTTGACATTTTTGAAAAGTACAGGCCATTTGTTTTGGAGAATTGCTCTCAATTTGGGTTTGTCTGGTATTTCTTCATGTTTTGATTCCAGCTATGTATTTTTGTCAGGAATACCACAGAAGAGTTTTTCTATCCTTCTTAGCGTATCATATCAAGAAACACATGGTATCTATTTGTCTTATAACTGGTGATGGTAACTTTAATCATACAGGGGTCTTTATACATTCTGTGTACCATTCCTTTTTCGGTTATGGGTTGTAAATATTATCTCCCACTCTTTGACTTTCCTTTTCACTCTCTGAATGTCTATCATAGAACAGAAGTTCTCTATTTCAATGTAGCCAGTTTTATTATTATTATTTTTCTGTTTTAGTGACTGCTTTTTGTGTCCTATTTAAGGAATTTTTTCCTAATCCCCAAGCTCATGAATGTATTCCCCTATAATCTTCTAGAAACTTTTTTTTTTTTTTTTTTGCTGTTCACATTAAGATCTGCAATGTACCAGGAACTGATTTTTCTGTATGGCATGAGGTAGGGGTCACATTTCAGTTTTTTCCACATGGATACCCATTATTCCAGCATTAAAAATGATACCCTTTCCTAACTTCTCACTTTTGTCACAAATCAAGAGACATATATGATGAGTCTGTTTCTGGACTTGGTATTCTGTCCCATTGTTCTATTAGTTTCTCTTTGTGCCTATATTAAACTGTGAAATTATTATACTTACTGTAGCTGTATAATAATTCTTGATTTCTGGTAAAGCATATCTTAATAGCCTCCCTACTTTAAAAGTGTCTTGGTTATTCTTGGCCCTTCCTATTTTCACATATACTTTAGAACCCTCTTGGCAGGTTTCTCTCTCTCTCACACACACAATTATTGAGATTTCATGAGTTCTACTAACTGAGGGAGAATTGACATCTTTACCTCATTGCATTTTCCAATTAATTAATGTGATATATCTCTCCATTTATTTAGGACATTTAAAATTTCTCTTAATAATGTTTAGTAATTTTTGTGTGTGGCAGTATTGCATATCTATTTTAGATTTATTCATAGGTATTTAGTATTTTGTTGCTATTGTAAATAGAATCTTTTTGAAGTTTGATTTTCTGTTTCTGGATGGTATATAGAAAACATTTGATCTTTATATATTCATATCAAATTAAATCCTGCTAAACTCAATTAATTCTAATAATTTATTTGTATACGACTTTGGATTTTCCATATATACAAGAATAATGACGATTTCATTTTGTCTCTTCCTGTCTTTATAGCTTTTAAAAGTACCTTTTTCCTCATTACAGTGGTTAAGGCCTCCCACACAATCTTGAATAGAAGCGGTGATAGCGGGCATCCTTGTATCATTTCTGATTTTGACAGATAATTAGGTAGGATGCTTGTAGTAGTTTTTTGTAGATGCTCTACTAAATTAAGTTTGTTTCCTTCTATTCTTAATATGCTGTTTTTTAAAACTATATCTGGATGTTAAATTTTATGAAATGCTTTTTCTCATAATTTGAGATAATCATATGATTTTTATCCTTTATTCTGCCGGTGGTGAATTACTTATTTGGTTTTCAAATGTTAAATGAAGCTTGTATTCTGAGATAAACCCATCTTGGTCATGATGTGTTATCTCTTTTATATATTGCTAGAGTTGCATTTAGTAATGTTTGGTTTAGGAATTTTGCATTTTGGTTCACCGGTGATGTTAACTTTCAATTTTCTTCTCTTATGCTACACTTACCAGCCTTTCATATCAAGGAAAAGAGTCCTTGGGTGATCCAAATGGTTGGTGGTTCACCACTCAGAGGCACCTGGGAAGACAGGCCTCGCTGTCTGCTTCCAAAAGATCACGGCCTTGAAAACTCTATGATATAGTTCTACTCTGCACACATGAGGTCACCATGAGTCAGAATGATTCAGTGACAACTAAGAACAACAAAAACAACAAACAATGCTATTTTTAGTGCTTGGCTGCTAATTGAAAGGTCAATAGTTCGAATCCACCAGCTGCTCTTCAGAATAAAAATGTGGCAGTCTGCTTCCATAAAGATTTATAGCCTTGGAAACCCTATGGGGTTCTACTCTGCGTATAGGGTCGTGATGAGGCGGAATTGACTCCATGGCAATGGGTTTGGTGGGTTTAGGATATGATTTGTTATGATGCACTCTTTTTCTTCCCTAATTTTGGTTTATGTTGTCTCTATTTCTTGATCAGTCTTTCAGAAGTTTCTCAGGTTTATTAATCATTTCACAAAACCAATTCTGCTCTGTTAATCCTCTCTATTAAAGGTTTTTTTTTTTTTTTTAAATTTCATTATTTTCTCCTCTTATCCTTATTATTTCCTTGGCTTTAATTTGATGTTCTTTTTCATCTTCTTGAAATGAATTTCTTGAGATGATCATTGATTTTCATTTTTTTCCAAAGGATGCATTTAAAGTTATAAATTTCTTTTTCAGCACAACTTTAATTACATCTAATATATTTCAAAGTGTCAAATTTTTATTATCATTAGTTAAAAATATTTTCTGATTTCCATTGTGATTTTTTTCTTTGGCCTATAGATTATTTAGGGGCCCTGGTGGTGCAGTGGTTAAAGCACTCGGCTGCTAACTGAAAGGTCAGTGGTTCGAACTCACCAGCCGCTCCGCTCCGTGGGAGAAAGATATGGCAGTCTGCCTCCATAAAGATTTACAGCCTTGGAAACCCTGTGGGCAGCTCTACTCTGTCCTATAGGGTTGCTGTGGGTCAGAATTCACTCGATGGTAATGGATTTGGTTTTTTTTTTTTTTTTTTTTATCTCTAGTAAGGCTTTTTGGTCTAAAGTCTATTTTTTTAGCTAGGCAGCAGATCCTGTTAGTATCCTGCTCATGTTTCCTTGGCACTTGTCATTCCCTTGCACACTGATGGATTTCTACCGTCATCCCCCATGACTCTCCATCTGAGGGCTTTTTCTGGTAAGCTTGGCCCATGTGACAGCCAAGCAGGCCAGAAGAGTTGGGGAATTGATGCCGTGGTAGCAGCCCTCACAAACTAACAGATGGGAACTGGAGGATAAATACCTCAGCTTCATCACCTGTTGAGTAGGACATGTTTGAGGGATATTATATATCAGCTCTCAGATGTCCTTAGGAGGATTGAGTGGTAACCTGCTCATTAATGGAACCAGTATTGTTTTTTCCCTTACTTTTCTCATCCCTCTTCCCAATTCTCCTACTAGAGCTTCCTGGAATAATTTCCCAAATAAACGATATGTTCTCGTATATTTGTCTTAGGTCTGCTTGGAGTGAACCCAACCAAAGATGGTTTTATATGTTTTAGTGTTTGTATGGCATATCTTTTTCCTTCCAGTCTTTCTGTATCCATTTATTTTAGATATGTCTTTAGTAAACAGTATATAGTGTGTTTGTTTTCCTTATTTAATGTCTTTTTACTATATTTACTATATTACTTAGTTCATTTCCATTTAATGTAATTACTGATAAATTTGCGTTTAAATCTTAATCTTTGTTCTTTCCCCCTTTTAAAAAATGCCCTGTTTTCCTCTTCTTTCTTAACTTTTTGCTTTGGATTGATTGAATATTTTTTGTTATTCCATTTCTTCTCTATTAGCTTGATATTTGTATACTCTCTTACTGTTTTGGTGATTAGAGATTACCATATCCATCCTTCATTTATTACAGTCAACTTTCCTAGTTGAAGCTATGACTGATTGTTCGTGGCTGACATTCACAGTGGTGTGGGTTTCATTCCTATCAGCAGCTTATATCAACTCTTCCTTAGCTTCTTTACTTTTTAAAAAAAATTTGGTCAGTGTTAGCCAATACTCATATAGGGCCTTAAAAGCAGGAGAGTGTAGTGAGAATGATGAGGTTGAGATCAGGGGAGATATCATCATGGAACTGAAAACACCATGTTCGTTTTTTGGGGTTTTGGTGACATCAACTTTTCCTTTGCTCCAGTTGTGTTTCTCTTAGAATTTCTCAGCCTCTGGCTTTTTGCCACTGACCTCCCTATAACCTTCATTCCATCTCCACCCTTCCTGCTGTGTCTCCTGTGGTTTCTTTCTTTAGCTCACTTAGACCCGGTATAGTACAGGAAAGTATCACTGGCCTAGAAGTCAGAAGGCCTAGGTATTAACTCTGCCTATGCTACTATGGGGGTGCAGACTTTGCAGCTCACAAACAGGGGTTTTCAATCTCAATTCTGTTACTTAACCCTACTGAGGCTCAGGGTCCTCATCTGTAAACTGAGGACAGTGCTTTTTAAATGCTTGGCAGAGTGGTTAGTACACAGTGTTGTTTAACAAATTTTGATTTTCTTTCACTCCTTTGTTTCTCCTCAGTAAAATTAAGTGTATTTATTTTCAAGATCCTTCCAGCTTCAATGTTCTCATAGCTCCTTTGGGTTATTTCTTCTTCTTTATTCTGCCTTACTCATCTCTCTCCTCCCTTTCCTCTTTGACAACTTGGCCTTCTGCATTTCTGTTTCTTTCCCATCTTATTCCTAATCC